TCTCTTGCGTATCTCATATTTCTGATCATGAATAAAGTAAAAAATGGAAATGTTGACGAAAAAAACTGAAATAATAATTTATTTTTGACATTATTTACATATATTATGATTTGAATATATTCACCAATGATACATCGTAACTTGTATTCGTAAGGCTATTTTTTGATAACAGGCCTTCCTTAAAGATAACATTTTTTCTGAAAGCCCATTTATGTTTATTAGATTTTGGGCCGTTGCTGAGGATTTTATATGATCAGGGCTGGGTATAAATACTCCTTACTCGGCTTGTACTCGCTACTCGCCTCATACTCAGTTTGAAAAAGCAAGCACTCGTCCCGTTCAAGTCGAGTAACAAGTCAACACATTACAGTACTTGCAAGTCCGAGCCAAGCATTAAATCAGTAAAAAAATTATACTACTTAGTCCGTTACTCGGCTTGATACTTGTTTATATTATTTGGCTTGATACTCGTTTATATTATTTGGCTTGATACTCGTTAATAATATTTGTAAAAATATATTTTATACTCGTTTATATTACTTGATACTCATTTATTAAGATCTTTGACATTTGACGGCATAACCAAACCAAGTCATTATCAGGTTTATATGTGTACTAGATTTTGATCCACGCCAAGCGTGGGATTACATGAATAAATATATTTTAATATATATGATTTCTAATATTTATAAACTTACAAATTGATATGCATTGTGGATAAGTATAATCAAGTTAAATTTTAATCAAGCATATTTTGATGTCATCAGTTTTAATATTTTTATGTGCAATTGATCAGAACATATAAAAATGTTATTTATTTCAACATATTTAATTGTAAAATTAATTTTTATTATTCGTGTAAATTATATAGCATATGATAAATCATATAAATTTTAGATTTATATGAATTTGTCGGACATAATAAACGAAAAGCAATATATGTTTTCCAATAATGAAATGTGTAAATATTTAATATATCATATTAATCTAAATACATATATACACAATAAATAATATAATAATAAATTTTTAAAAAATATAAAAGAAGTTTTTAAAATAGATGATATGGTAAATCTAAAAATTACATTTAGTTGGACTTGCAAAACATGTATTAATGGGTTTATGCTATAAAATTAATAAGAATATGTAGAATTAATTGACATGTTTTCATTGGTTAATTTGAATGACATGTTTCTTGAAACTCTCATTGAGTGACACATAGGATTTTCATCTTAGTGTCTCCTCAATTAATATATAGAGGATGTGTTACGATTATTCTTACATTTGTTATCTTGGTTTAATGATTTTATAAGCCAAAAACAAACAAATCAAGAAGAAGACTATTACGATGTGAAATATTGAACCAAAAACTTGTTTTTTTGAATGATTATATTTTAGAACTTTAATGTTTTATATATATTTAAGTACTTTCAAGTAGTTTTGACCC